GTTCTTCCAAGCGGGTTTCAAGGGATTCAGATATCTCATGATTCTGTTCCTTCGAGTTTCGCCTTTCTTCCAGCTGTTTGGAGCTCGTTCTACAATTAGTACACCTCTTATTCCCCAGGGTTTCGGGTGGGTTTTTAGAAAGAAGGATGCCTGGAAAGAATGGGGAAGGTACCCCTAGACTTATGATTAAACCGATTGCCAACCAATGGAGATCCACCCCCCCCCCCCCCTATTTTTGCGCCTCGCGCAGGACTGCTCGGAGCGCTTGGCCCAGCAGGCGCGAGACGGGCCGGTGGACATGAGCGACTTCCTGCTGCGCCTTGGCCGCCGGCAGGGGACGAGCGAAAAAGGTCCAAACCAATGATGGAAAAGGATCAAACACTTTGAACTGGAAGCACAAAGAAGGTCTGCCCGCTTGTCCAAGATTGAACAAAACGGGTGCGGAAAAGGACAGGGCACAGAGAGAGCATTGAAAGCACAGCGAATGAGAGCAGAAGCACGAAGACGCAGAGAGTCCTTTTTGTTTGAAAGCAACCTCGAAAAGGGTGCGGGCAAAAGGAAAGATGTCCAACTTCCCCGCTCCTCGGTTGCTTTTGGTAGGGGTCACTTTTGACCAAAGCTGAGGCACGAGGCACAGGCGCAGCTGCAGCTGGCGCTTCTGGGGGTGCCGGAAGAGACCATGGACCGAACCAACGCAGGCGCGACGCGGAAAAACACACAGGTGTGGAAAGGCAAAGGTTTGGCAAGTTCAACTAAGCTTCCTCGGTGTTTGTAGGTTGGAAAATATTGGAAACTGGGGAAGCCAGTGGATCTGGTGTGCAATCAATTCAAACCGGGTGGGTGAAGGTTTGTAGGCCTCCTGAATGAATAGGTGTGGTCAAAAACCCGTTCAGGGTAGACGGCTGACCAGGTTTGCTTTGCGTACAGATGAAACGGTCAGAGTATGGAAGTATGGCGAGGTGAAGTTCTTGCACAGCTTTGCAGAGCCAGAGACTGAAACGAGCGACCCACTTCACCTATGTGTATATGCAATTGGTATGTTAATCCTGACTGCACCCCAAGGCCAGCAAGACCCTTGGTCATCAATCTCAGGCCATAGAATACAGGACCAGAACATCTTTATGGTTGGCAAGCATGTTACTGATGCTAGAGGAGACATGCAAAATGGCTCACGCTCCCGGACCATGCTGTCTTGACGTTCAATTAATTCTTGCTGCGGCCACTCAGCAAATTGAGCTCGCCTTAGTGCAGCTTTTCAGACCATTCAGAGCCTGAACCTATCGTATCTTGTCCAGAAGGTGTGTCTTGTGCGAATGTCTGCACGCGCGACTGAACCCTCTTTGCGACAGAGAACAGTTGCCTTTACCACTCGCCCTATCAAACTTGTTGTGTGCGGAATCATCTTTCTGGACATCTGTGTCACTTGATTTCTTCGTGGAATTGCTCAAGCCCTTGACAGAAGGAATCAATTGACCCATAAACAAGTATTATCAACGAGGCCATCGTTATCCACCTAGAGAAGTGGCCTCCCATCAAAATCCAATCACGCCGAATCATCCGATTTCCGATGGCCTTTCAGGCAATAAAGAGAACCGACTCACAAGACACGGGCACCAACATGCCTCAAGACAAGCGACGCATCCAGTCTCAAGGCTGGTTATAAGACAAATCTTCCCCCCCCAGCCTGAAGCCTTGGGGGATGGGAACGCCTGAGGTATTCGCGCCACTTTTGCGGGGAGCCCCGATGCGAAGCTGGGGCACCTGAGTGGGGCCATGATACTTGGCGACGGCTTGGCAGCGCATTTTTGTTTGTCTTTTTTAGTCGGAATGGGAGCAGGAGAGCCTTCGCTGAGTTATCCAACAGAAATCGCATCCAAGCAGCGTGCCTGGCCTTGAATGCGCAGCTTGGTGGGGCGCCCACTGAGCCAATCATTTGACTGGACCAGTTCGCGTGCAATTGAGATTTGGGTGGGGCTCAAGGGGGTCCGCAGATTGTGTGATTTTGTTTTCCCCGACAGCTGCAAGCGATGGGGTCTCAGCCCAGATAGCTCCGGGGTGGTCTGGGGCGGCCCTGAGGTAAGGTTCCGCAGGGTTCAGCGAGGGTTCCGCAAGGGTCTAGCGAGGGTTCCGCGAGGGTCTCGCGAGGGTTCCGCGAGACCTTTCGCATCTACAGAGCCTATGCAGGTGTGGTGTGAAGGTATCACCTGAGCTTATTTTATAGAAACTGAGGGTTGGGGGGTACCATATTTTTGAGCCACAACCAGCTTCAGCTTCTGAGTTGCTCGGTTGGCTTAGCTTGGACAGCCAGCTGTTCTTGTGTTTTTTTGGGGGCCACTTAACCATGAAAGAGGTGAGTCATCGAACACGTATATAGTTATCCGCTGTTTGTGGGTGACAGATCAAAAGCCCCAGCTGCCAAGCCTCAGGAAGGACATTATGCAGCACGCTCGAGAGGCTACAAACCTAGGCAGGGGTTTTCCATTGGAACCCGGCTGGGCGGGGTTGCTATGTTCTATGAACAGACGGCACAGCGACCATTACGTCCAATCCAACCTCGCGGTTTGGCGAGAGGAAGATGAATGGAAGGTTGGCATTCAACATGTCAAGTGGCCTCGCACGACAAGGCATTCTGAACTTCTGAAGGATCGGCATTACGAGGCCTCATGTATTCGCTCGACCTCCCTCCTTTGCGATCGATCCATCCGTGAGATAGGGAACTGACTCGGCCTCACTTCAATGGTGCAGCCAAGTAAGGAGCACTGGCCACCTCAATGTGGCTATGAATGTGAAGGGGAACCACCTCAAAAGTGGTTGTCACATGAATCCCCCCAACAGATGTCCGCCATTTCGGGTCCGGGACTCATAGAACTTCACACCCAGTGCAGCCTTTCGAACGCTGACGGATGGGGTTCCTCCACCTTCCGCCTCTTCGTTGGAGGCCTTCCGACGGACGGCTGTCCTGTCCGAGGCGGGCTCGGGAAGTGTCAAGCAGCTACGCCCGTCAGGCGGCTCCCCATACTTCCCGTTTGGGTGGTTTTAATCCACGCCAGTTGGGCCAATTCCAAATGAGCTTTCCTTTGCCGCTTTTGCTGGAGAAATCGTGCGCGTCTGTTGCAGCTTGGTTCCTTGAGATTTTGTCAAACCCTTCCTTCCCAGGGGAGCCGTAGCAACTGCATGAACTAATTTTGATCATGGCAGTTGCAAATCAGAAGGGGCCGAAAGGGTTGCACTTCGACATCGTTTGGTCAAGATTTTGCGTGTCAGCTGGGTCAACACATGCTTGTCAACGATGTCCACCCAAGGGTCTGCGGGGAAACCTCATGCGCTGGTGCCTGTTGTGCGGAAGTTGGAGATATTTTTTGGGAAGCTTCAAGCGCCAATCCATGCAGAGATTGGCAGGCCCTCTATCAAGGGCCCTGCAGACGGGCCAGTTCCACTCCAGCACGGATTACGGGACGCCGGGCGGCAATTGAGGCAGCCGATCACTGAGCCACATGTCCAAGGGTGAAATTCGGGAGATCATCGTCCCAACTATAAGGCGTTCCTTGTCTTCCCACAGACTCTCTCAATAGCTTTTGAGCCTTGACTCAACTGCTGGATCGGAGTATAGTCAAAGATCGGCGTGTGAGTGCTTGCCAAGGAACCTGCTCATCATACTTTTCGCTGGCCACGACACCACAGGACTCAGGGCTATCGACTGGTCCGGCCCTTTCGGATCGCGCCAATGCAGGTCAACGTTATCAAGAGCCAAGTGTCCAAACCTTGTATTGTTTGGCTGCCCACGAAACCATTTCCTTCAAACGAGTCATCGAGCCCACAACCAAAGACAGTACCTATGCAATCATGCTAGCTTTCCTTTTTGTCACTAGATGATGTTGGCTGTCGATCAGTGTCGTTTCGTGATCATATGTCCGTTCGGCGACAGGTATTTTATCTCAGATTTTCACTACCTGGAACCTGACAGAAGGCTTCTTCAAGAGGGACATTGCCGTTCAGGTGCCCTGCCTCAGGTGCCATGTATTGCCCTGGAAGGAAGGGTTGATCGAAGGTTGATGGATCATAGAAGTTCCTTGCGGTTTCGGTTCCAACAACCTCGTCGAAGCAAGAGTAGCTCAAGTAGCAGCGAGCCCATGGGCAAAATGGTGTGTCTCAAAGTATCAAAGTAGCGGACCCCATTGCGGCCTTTTGTCAAGCACCCAGGATTCTGTTTGCCTTGCAAACCAACTCTGAGGGTCCCAAATGTGGAGAGCCCGAGTCCTTCGAGGACACACCATGACCTGGCTGCTGTACGAGCTAGCACGACACCCGGACATCCAGCGGAAAGTGCAGGTGGGAAAGCCGCAGTCCATCGGACCGCAAGGGGCCAGATGGAGAAGTCGGCCAATTTAGTAAAGGTTGGTCTCAGTAGATTCAAAGATCACTGGATTTTGTCCCCTCGGCCCTCGGCTCATTCCAAACCAGAGAACTTTGCCTTGGGTGTTCCCTGTGGACAGCTATGTACAACAAGCCTTGTGCCAGAGGCGGTTCTTGTTTATGTCCTGCAACCGGCTAGCAAATCTTTGCTTGTTTTGGTACTATAAATGGAGTTATGGACATCAACCTTTCTCAACATGTTGATTCCACTTTGCTGCGGATAGCTTGTCTTGTCGTCCAATGTTTTATAGAAGCGCTTTGACAGTTGCTCATTTAACTTGTCATTTAACGCAGCGCAGCTTCAACACATACAAGTAGCTAATGTAGACGCGCACACGCACATGAACGCACATGCGTGTCAACCTACTCACATTTGATTGGCTGTCTCTCCGTTTGCGGGGCATTCAGGAGGAAGTGGATGCGTTCTTCGCTTCGCTGCAGAAGGATCCAACGTACAAGGACGGGCAAGCAGATAGCTTCGAGGGCGGCGCTTTCGGCACGCCCTCCGTTCCCCCGCACCCCATACTCACACAAAGGTTTTTAACGACCAATCCAACGATCCATGTCAAAAGATGTGGCTCAGCTTGGATACCTTCGGGGAGTTGTAACCCTGGCTTGTGGCAAGTGGAGAGGTGGCGAACCCTAGTGTTCATGGGCATAGTCCTGCACCAATTGATGGTACTTTCACTCATTGCTCATTATTTTAGACGGTCTTCACATGTTTCATGCTGCAACACCCTGTGTAGGATGGCTTGACCATCAACAGAACAATACCAGTTGCTTCCGCCTTCCGTAGCCATTTGTGCCTCGTATGGGGGGAAGGCTTGGGAAAGTCTTCCTTGTTTCGTGCGCTCTACGCCTCAGTCGCTTTGAAATCTTTGAGCCCTCCTTTGCCATGTCACGCATCTTCAAGCGCAGCCGCACTTGCGTGAAGAAGTATGAGTTCTGGCCATCTGACTTGCAACGGGCGGGGCACACCTCAGTGTCCGTTGAGGAGGATGATGAGCTGTGGAAAGTCTTGCAGAAGATTGGGAAACATGACATCTACGGCATCCACATGGCGCGCATGCAGAAGCTTCCCTGCAAGTTGATTCCCACCTCCAAGTTTCGGAACGGGCAGGAGCGTTGGTGGTGCCCCATACATCAAGGGAGCTACGGGAAGAAGAAGCAGGCTGGGGTCATTCAACCAAATGGATGGTCACTCTCCACGCGATTCTCGGACATTTTTTGTCTGGACATGATCATTTTTGAAGTAACGAAGAGGTCACTTGAAGGCAACCTAACAAATTACCCCGGCACGAGACCCCAAACAGTGATAGGCGGCGGTCACACGCTGCAGAGTATTGTGCGGGCTGCGCCGCAAAACGGCGGTTGTTGTCAGGAAGCTGCAACATCATTTTGCGGTATTTGCGCGCACATTCACAAAGACAAGGACACGGCCTGGAACAGACACGCGCAAGAGAATGCAGCAGACACGTGTCGAAGCCAGCGCCATGGTCGTGTGTGCGTGTGTTTGTGCGTGTGTGTGTGTGTGTGCGTGTGTGTGTGTGTGTGTGTGTAAGCATCACTACAAAAGGCAAGATCTGTGTGTTTGTTTCACCAGAGTGCCTGAGTTAGTGAGTTAGCTAGCTAGGTAGCTTCTTCCTTTGTTCTCGATTGTGGCGCTGTTGCTGTTGCTGTTACTGTTGCTGTTTTTGGGTGTTGTTGTTCAGAGTACCATCGAGACGCCGTCGCAGCACAGAAGCACCATCCAAGCATGCCCAAAGAAAGGGAAACAAGCTCGCGGACAGGGCGGGAATCGAGCCCGGGACCTTTCGCCGGAACCCGTGCCGCCGGACCACGAGACAAAACCCCCGCGGTCCCCGGAGCCGCCAAAAAAGCAAAAAAATCGAGTTTGTGCGAGCCTGCGCAGTCGAAACGCACTTCAACATCAAGCAAGAGCAAGAATCTGCGGTAAATACCACGCGAAACGCTCGCGGACAGAAGTCGCCAACTCACTTTGTGCGAGCCTGCGCAATCGAAACGCATTTCAACATCAAGCAAAAGCACGAATCTGCGGTAAATACCACGCAAAACGCTCGCGGACAGAAGTCGCCAACTCACTTTGTGCGAGCCTGCGCAGTCAAAACGCACTTCGACATCAAGCAAGAGCACGAATCTGCGGTAAATACCACGCAAAACGCTCGCGGCCAGAAGTCGCCAACTCACTTTGTGCGAGCCTGCGCAGTCAAAACGCACTTCGACATCAAGCAAGAGCACGAATCTGCGGTAAATACCACGCAAAACGCTCGCGGCCAGAGCGGGCACCTCAATCTGGCACCAAGGCCTTTTCTCTTACCGTAAGAACCCCTTAGTGTAGACACACTGTTTGGGGAATCAGGCCTCGGTCCACGGTCCAAGATTCGCGCGAAGGTACCAGTGTTGGGACGAGTTATCCCTTCCGGCGGCGAGGCATGCCTCCAATCTAGGCGCCTGAAATGGCCCTTCGGGACTCAGGTGACAAACGCATTTGACCACCACGACGATGTCGTTAAACGGGCAACGCTTGGCATTAAACCCTGCCCGGTCGTGAAGAAGTCTCGAGTCTCCACGGTTTCCTTGGATGTCTCCGTTCAGCTTCGATAGGTCGCTGAAGCCAAGCAGACTGGAGTGAAGTGCTGCGATCAGCGCGACGCGTTGATCGACTTCGTCCAATCCTCCGACGTGCTCGAGCTGACCCTGGTGAAGCCTGGGGAGGTCCAAGGGGAGAACGACTACGTGGAGCTGGGGCTTTGGATTGGCCTCGCCCCGGCGTTGGACACCTTCAACGAGAAGACCGCGGAGCACGGCCGCAAGTATTTCTATGCCGGGATCCATGTGCATGCCCGCAAGGAGCATGGTTGCAAGCATATGTTTCAGTCTTTTTTTGGAGACCCAAATGTTGACCTACATTCGCATATGTTGTTCAAGGCAGGATGTTTTATGCTTGTTTTTTTGTTCACCCGGCCAAGTGATCATGCAAACAATGGTGGATGGGACACAGCATCAGGCAACTATGGAGAACTGGTGCTGTGTTGTCTATGGTTTCTTGGTCATTTTCTTTACCAATCCATTGAGATCACTGGCTCTCGACCAGGAGCCGGGAGGCAAGAAGGTGATCGACAAGAACTTCCCAGCGGTGCGCATTCGAGACCGCACCGGGCGCTTCAGCAAGATCCCTACAGAGGGGATTCTGGTCACCAGCCCCGCTGCCTTGGAATACCTCTACTACATGGAGCACCGCTGCCCCGTGAATGCCCAGCTGGGAAAGTGCCTGGACGATCAGAAGGTGACGCGATCATCGGTGGATTTGGCTGCTGTGGTGAGGTGCAAACATTGTGAGTCCCTGCATGAAGATATCGGAGACTTCTTTGGGGAGAATCCGCACAAGAAGCTCGGTGAGCAAGGCAGAAGGCAGTCTGAGAGCTTCATGAATCGTTTGGGGGACCCCTGTCATGATCTATTTCCCCCTTGGAAGTGGCAAAATCCGCCACGCAGTATGGATGATATGTGTGGATATGCAGAATATAATAGTATATTTTTTCAGACATGTACTTTGTAGAACTTAGCAGTCCGGCGATGCCATTTGGCTGCGAGCATGCTTGCCGGTGTTCTGAACCTTCCTTTTTCAAGTGGAGGCGCTATGCCAAGAGTACGACAAAACACAATGTGTTTCAGCTCTTGCCTCTACGACAGACTATGAGCCGCGGCATGTTTTTTACAAAGCAAAGGGCACAAAACACGATCTATTAGCATCGTGGGCTGTTACCACGAGGCAGGTGTGAGCGCAGCGCTGAGCGGATGCGCCTGAACGTGAGTCCTTACACGAAAATGAACGCTGCCTTTTCGGTTGTTGTCTTCGTTCCTCCTCCTCCTGTTGTTGTTGCTATTGTTGTTCTTGTTCTTGTTCTTGTGTTTGGTCTCGTCCTTGGTCTTGCTGTGCTTGGTCTCGTCAATTTTTGTTATTCTTATGTTTGGTTCTTGTTCGTGCCCGAGTCCTTGGGTTTGTTCTTTTGATTCTTGTCCTTCTTCCTGTCCTTGTTCTGGTTTTGCTTGTCGTGTTCCGTCTGGTTCTTGGGCTTGTTTTTGTGGCTGCTGTCCTTTGGCTCAGGCCCCGTGAGCGCGCGTTTCAGTCAAATATGCCAGGTCCGTTTCGCGTGGTCTGCGTGGGAGATTCAGCAATGTCCATCGCAAAACATGCGTTTCAACTCCACAGGCACGTCATTTTTCGAGAAAAGGCTGCTGCCTTGTTCTTGTTCTTGCTCTGTTCCGGGTTCTGGCTCTTGTTGCGCGTTTGTTCTTGTTCTTGTTGCTCGTGCTCTTGTTCTCGTTGCTCGTGTTCTTGTTTTCGCCCTTGTTCTCTTATTCTTGTTCTTGCTCTTTGTGCTTCTTGTTCTGGTTCTTCGTGCTTTTCCAACACACCTTTTTGCAATCTCTCTGACATGCTCCCCCTGCTGCAGGTTGGGTCGGCGTACAGACATATGTAATGCACATGTCCATGTCATTGATTGACTAAGGTTGGGTTAAGGTGGGGTTTGTCAAAGCAATTGCCAAGGCAATCCAATATGGGGATCGTGTCCACTACTTTCCCTTGACATGGGTAATTATTTTCATCAACCATCGTTAACCATCATTCAGCAGCATGAGCTATGAACTCCCCAGGAGCCATGACTGGGGCCTTCTGCCAATACTATTCACGATTCATGAGGATCCACCAACCAATGGTGGTGCCCAACATTGATATACCCCTGAGGCCTTCCATTTTTGAGATTCCCAGTTGGGATGGATGACCATGGAACGCGTGGCATGGTATGAACCAATAAGGTGTCACAAAATGTGATTGTGTGGTACTGTGCTGGTGTGTTTTTAATGGCCCAACTTTTGACCAATGTCTGTTTTGCATTTCGACTCATGCCCATGACAAGCCTTCCCGCGTTTTGTCAAGGAAACACCTCTGTGGCACCTGCGGGCGCGACATCTTCGGCAAGGCCAACATCGGCAACCCCTTGCAGCTCTTCGAACGGCCCTGGCGGCGAGAGATTGTCGGGGAGAAGATCGATCCGCAGAACAAGGAACCAACACGGTTGGTAGGTGGCCCGCCGACACCCCATCGGCTTGGGAAATGGTTCCTAGATGACCATGGTCAAAACCCATAGATTTCCAACCAAAGGCTATTCTGCTCTTTGGGAACTACGGTGCAGTTTTGTCCAATGACCTCCATTCACCTGTCTGTTTGGCAGTTGCCTCGCACAAGACTAAGGTGGGAGTACTATCCAGCAGGTCAAGCTGGCATTTAGTCCTATCACCATTGGTTGGGGCTAACTACAACCTGTGGTTGACTACAGCCGTCTATATAATTGGGGACGACTAGAAACTGGTTGAACTTCTTTGGACATGGTCCCCAGTCACAAATTGATGGATTCCCTTTTTTACTTTTTATGAGGGACACAAGACTGACAACTATTTGGAGATGACGATCAACGTGCTTGGACAGGGAAACTGCGTAACCGTGATGCGATCAGGTTTTGGCAACCTTTCAGCCCGCCCGTCCACAGGAGATCCACATCAAGACATCCGAGCACCGTTTGACGCTTGTCGGCTTTCGAACACTGACAAACGCGTTCCAATTAAAGCTTGTAGTCCGGCGACCCCTCCACAAGACGCTATCTGGGACGATAAGGAACTGACACAAAACGGCCCAACTCACATTCTCAACGGCATTTGGAATGAACATCAAGCGTGAAGAGAAGATTTCGTGAGGAAGCCTGTTCCAATGTGTTTGGGAACCATCCCAAGTCCCAAGTCATTCATTACTTCCATCTCTTGGGTGATCTCCAGTTGGGATCCTTTGAACCTGAAATCACCACATGGGGGGCATTCAACCTTGGTAAGTTTCATAAAACTAGGGGGGGCAATAATGAATGGTCCATTTCTAAATATGATGATGATGGATGCTGATTGGGTATCCCTATTCTAATAAACAACAATGTGCAGGCATCTTAGGTACCACATGAACTTTAAATGTTCCCAGTCTGGTGAACCAACAATAGGGCCAACGAAACTTTCAAACAACCTTTCTGGTGTCGACACTAGCCAGGGGGATGTTCTCAAGATGACTGTTGCAAACCATGCAGTCATTGTTGATTGGAAGAGTACTGCAATGATATTTAACGACCATTGATCGCATTGTATCACCAAGAACGGGGCTTTGCGGATTTCCGGTCGTTCCCCTGAGTCGGTGCTGATTGCATGGGATTGCGATATAGTGATCAAACACGGCCAGCAATGGAGGCCGAAGGCACCAGAAGACTTTACTTATGACCATGGTTGCCATTTTCTACTTTCTCATGGCTGGCGCGAAAGTTGATATTTGGATGCTCAATCCCATGATTTCTGCCAACACATGGATGAACATGGTACAGTATCACCATTTTTGGACGGTTTGCCATGGCCTTCCTATCAAAATGTGGTTGTTTCCCCTTGCACCCGATCTGTCAAACGGGATCTCAGGATGTGTTGGCCGTCCACCCCGGCACTTTTCTGGAGTCGCGACGCTCCGGAGATTTGGGGCATCCATGTGCACGGATTCGATGCGGAGGTGCAACAGATGGAAGGGACACTGAAATGGTGGTTTCTTAGAGTGGGGGCACCCAACTTCATCCACAACCAGTTATTTTTAGTAATAAACCATCCAGTTGGGTTCCTAATTTAGAGAGACAACCACATGGGTAATTTTCTACACAGGGGGATGTCGCAATCCGTGCTTTCCATACCCGCCCCGTACTGAAATGGATTCAATTGCGAGGATTCGAGAACCCAAAATTTGAGGACAGCTGCATAACAATCAGTCCTTCCGGAAAATGAGATGGCAACAGCCTCCAGGGATCCAATATGGCAAACTGAACACAATCACTTCTGTCGAGGTACTTTTTGGATGGAGATGGGAAGATCCAGATCCTAGGACCTAGGTCGAGGATGCTCAAGGATGCCCACGAATACCAAACAGCCCAGAAACCAAACAGTCCGATTCTTCACATCAATTAATTGAATCACATCGGGGTCACTTCCCCGGTCAGCGAGAGGGCAAGCGGGTGATCGATGACACCTACGGCACGGTATACGTGGACGGCAAGAAATTGGACCGCTCGAAGCTCTTCGGCGACATGTTGGACAACAGCTTCTGGATGGCCGAAGAAGCTGAGATGGCGGCCGTCGCAGAAGAATTGGAAGACGACTGAGACAACGCCAGGTTGCACCCATTCGATGTCCTTAGTGTAGTGGATTAGTTCAGGTATTTGGCTAGGCTCTAAACTCAGTTAAGCTTGGAACACGTTGACAGTCATGCACGTGTTGGTCAAAAGGACATCGCTTGGACGAACGCTGGAAGCGTTTGTGTGGAAGGCGTTTTGCAGCTTGGAATAGTATTGGTAACACGTTCTGGCTGCGAAACGCTCATCTTTGAAGGGCGATGATTCACTTCAGGCGAGCTTGCGCAATGCTTGCTGTACCTGAAGTGCAATCATGGCCATGGTTTTGAGGATTGCACACCTTTGAGATCGATGGTTGCGTGTGAAAAGGGTGAGACATTGATTTCCGTTTTGTTTTTTTCCCGGTAAGAAGCCCAGCAATCGAGCGAGCGAGCGAGCAAGCAAGCAAGCACGCACGCACCCAAGCATGCACCCAAGCAAGCAAGCAAGCAAGCAAAGCAGCAAGCAAGGCAAAGTGAACAAAAGACGCTCCTAATTAAGCCACCTGGAGGGGTCGCTACTTTTGAGTGAAACCCGCAAGGCACATTGGGACATGGCTTCCTCGCCAGGACTTGAGCCAACTGCCCATCCTTGACCGTTGCATCACAGAGAGGCACGGCCGCAACAGGCATCGGCTTGGCGGGGCAACGGGGGAATGGGGAAAGGGGGGAAGGGGGAAGGGAGCGGACGGCTCGGGCATCGAACAGTTGTTCTGCAGCATCAACAAAGGAGGGTCCCCATGAAAAGCGGTCAGGGTCACTTAAAGGGTCACTTTTTCTACCGGCCACTGAGTAATTTAGTGGGAACCTGTCATGGGTGCCGACAGGAGTCCCTCAATATCCCTACTTGCTTGGACCTCCAAAAGTAGCAGATCCCCGGCTGTCAAATTGGACATCCGGCCAACCCCGACATGGTCATTTTCCGATAGTTTGTCGGCGGTCAAAGAAGGAAAAAATAAGTACAGCGCCAGGGCTGCAATTGATTTGGGGCGATTTGATGCTAGTGTTTGTGGTTTCGTATCAACTGCGCTCACAAGATCCCCGGAATCAATGAGCAGCTAGAGCGGCAAAGGATGCGTTCAGAGGCGGGGCAGGATCTATCAGTGGAATAGAAAGGATTGTTCGAGAAAAGGAGGGCTTTCATGAGGTGTTTCTCAAACATTAGGGCAAGTTTCCCAGGCTGAAAGGGGGTTCTTCCTTGTTTGCCCTTCTGTTTCCAGATTGAATTGCAAAGGCCACGGAAGCGGAGGATGCAAACTAAATAGCAATGATCAAGAAGGATCCGTTGAGATCACGGGTCGCGTTTCGCGAAGACAGTCGCCACAGCGGGCGGGTAAGGACTTTGAGACTTTGGCCGGCGGTGGCGAACGGCACTTTCCGGCAACTGCAGCGCCTCAGAGTAAATGGTTGGTGCCGCTGCCTCTCTATCGAGATGTTGGTCAGATAGATGCCTCGTTTCCTGGCAACCTACAAGTTTCCCTGGTTGTTCCTTTCGTTCTAAATTGCAGTTTCTCAAACATGAAGCTTTGTCCCCTTCACTGGGCGAGCAGGGGGCATATTGCTTCGCACTGGCGTGGGCATTGGTTGGTTGGCTTGCTTGCTCGCTTGTTGCTTGCTTGCTGGCTGGCTTGCTTGCTTGTGATTCTTCACCAACTCCCCAAGAACGTAAACAGGCACACACCTGTTGTTTTAAACGAGGTTTGAGCCCAGGCCTGGTGTAAGCCAGTGCTAAAGACCGAGCCCGTGCTGGGCAGCAGAAAAGAAGCCAACCTTCGGCCAGGGGGCGGGGGGGAGTCAGGCGGAAGGCCGAGAGCCGCGAGCTGCGAGCCGAGGTTCGGTGAGGACGTGAAAGGTGCCCAGGGGAAGCAGGTGCGAGGCCAAAGCGCCACCGTCCTTTTTGGGGCAGGGGGGGGGGTTGGGGAATGAAGGGGCCATTTGTTCTACACCCATAGTTGTATGTTCATTCCCAGAGTGGGGTTGATTTTTCCTGGTGGTATGCCAGACTTGGGCCCAAAAAAGGATTCGTGAGGTTGTGCTTTCAACATAGAAAAAAAGGAGGGCTGTTTGGACGGCGCCCCTGCCGCCACTTCCCCTGCAGGTGTCGCTCCCCAAAGGGACACTGGTGACGGTTAGCAACTGGCCGGCGCCTCAGCCAGCCGCATACGGGAGTCGCACGTGAGGATGTACTTGTGCGACCTGTTTGGAAACGGCCAGTTTCAGAAAAAGGGAATCACCCCTGCCAGCAATCTCGCAAGGGGTACTCGTTTGAAGCACGTGTATCACGTGTCGGCATGGCTGGTTGCTGCTATTTTGGTTGCAAGCCGGCATGCGGCATTCCATCGTATTGTTGCGTATGGGCTCCCGTTTTGAAGGTCTGCGGGAAGGCTCAGCTGGCGAGTCTTTGTTTGATCTGGGCTTCCGTCCCGAGGAGCCGGCACCGGAACCCCGAACTCTGGGGCCCTGATGCTGAGAGCTTTAACCCCTGGCGAGAGTTCACGCAGCAGGCAGGAGCATGGAAGTGGGTCTCAAACAAGTTTGCACTAGTTGGTCAACACCCAAAGCAGTCAAGGAAATCAGGTGGTCAAACATCGTGCATATCACTCCCTTCTCCACTAGCATGGTGCGTGGCTTGAAGCCTCTAAACCTGGAGGCTGTTTCATTCTCCATGGTTGGTGCCTTCTGAACAGAGTAAGAACGGTTGTCCTTTTGCAGGCTGAGCCTGGCTTTACGTGTGTCTGTGTGGGGCACATGGTGAGACACTTGAGTGTGAATTGCAAGTGGCTAACCCTTGGCCAATTTCGACTAAAGGATTTCGCTGGGCGACCGCTCACGTCTCAGGAGCTGGCGCGGGTGGGGTGCCCCATGGCTGCCGCCAACCCGCAGTCCGGGCGCTTCTCGCCCTTCGCGCACAACCCCCGCAGCTGCCTGGGGAAGAACTTTGCGCAGATGGCGGCCCGGAATGGAAAGGGCGGCGAAATCATCAGCGGGGAAGCACGGGAGCTAGATTTGGGCTGTGTGACCAGGGACAGGGGTTCCGATATGTTGACTTTTCGAAGGGTCAAACATTGCGCGGCTTCGTTGCCATTCAAAGGCTTTTCCTTCCAAGCGTTTTTCGTTGCTTTTCCCATCATTCCCCATCAATTAAAGTTGCACGCTCCCCACAGGATTTCCCAAAAGATTGGGCCCCCTTTGTGCCTCCATTTCCAAAATTGTCAATGGACTGTGGTATCACTACCATATAACAAGGCTGAGAGGGGTGAGGCAAGAAATGGGAGTCCTTGGCAGTTTGATCTTTTTCAACTCAACAGCCATGGGCGCAGCAT